TATATATAACTTTTACTCATTTATGGGTTAGTATTATTGTTACTGTCATTGTTATAACCCTTTTATAGATGAGAAACCTGAAGCTCAGAGAATTTGAATGACTTTTTTCTTTCAAAAAGTATGTCTTTGGGAACATAAAATGGTACAACTTCTGTATAAACAATTTGACAATTCTTCAAAAAGTTAAGCATAGTATTAGCACATGACCCAGTAATTCCACTCCTAGGTTTATACCCAAATGAACTGAATGTAGGGACTTACACAGATACTTGTATAGCAATTCTCATTGCAGCATTATTAACAATAGTCAAAAGATTAAAACAATCCAAGTGTCCATCAATGGATGAATGGATAAGCGAAATGTGGTATATACATATAAAATATTACTCAATCATAAAGAGAAATGAAGTCCTGATACATACTTCAACAACAATGAACCTTGAAAAAATTATGCTAAGTCAAATAAATCAGAAACAAAAGGACAAATATTGTTGATCTTACTTATATGACCTATCTATAATAAGAAAATGCATACCATAAAACCCCAAAGTCACTGCTGTCAAGTTGATCCAACTCATAGCAACTCCTCCTTGGGTTTCCAAAGCTGTATCTCTATGGAAGTAGATCACTCACTCTTCCTTCTGAGGAGGGACTGGTGGTTCCACTCCCCTTTGGGTTAGCAGTCAATGCCTTAGGCACTATGCCACCAGAGCTCCCAAGTAAGTGCATAGAGATAAAATTAGATTAGTGGTTTCCGAGGCTGGGAAGAGGGGGAAAATGATCCAAGGAGGGGTCACTATGAGTCGGATCAGACTCTACGGCAGTGAGTGAGTAAAAAGAAAAAAAGAGCATTTCTTGGTAAGCTACCTCTCAGCTAGCCATTTGGGCTTAGGATCAGAAGCCAGTCTTGAAGAGGTTTAGAATTACCTTTTAAATTTACCAACTGGACTAGGTTTTATGTGAACTGTAGAAAATACTGTGTGAGTTTCACAAGCAAATGAGACACTGAAAATTACTATAGCAAAAGTTCTACTGTTTTTAAATGGGGAAAAAATATCTATATAGAAAGTTCTGTTTCTTTCAGTTTCTAGTGGTATAATGCTCAGAGCAAAATGTTCTGGCAAGGGGGTCAGGATGCCTAGGTTCTGTGACCTGATAATGTAACAAACATAAAGAGAAAGTGTGAACAAGTCATCTGACCTCTCTGAGTCTCGGTTTTCTCATTCATAAAATGAGAGTGCTGGAACAGAAGTTCTCTAAGGACCTCCAAGTTCTAAAATGCTTCAATTCTAAGAAATAGTATATGAGTCAATATTAGTACAGGCTCAAGGGAAGGACAGGACAGGGAGAAAGTTGCTTCTAGCCTCGGGAACAATGTATGTGCCAGACCTGTTAGGTTTTCTACATTTTCTGTGCCCAAGTTGGGAGCATAGACAGTTAATACAGAACAGAATAGTACAAACATCATAGTACATCATGAAGTCTGATTCTTGGCATCTCATTGAGCACTAGGAGCTCTGGTAGCACAGTGCGTAAGGCACTTGACTGCTGACCAGAAGGCTGGCGGTTCAAACCCACTCGCCAGTCCTCGGAAGGAAGGTTGGGCAATCTACTTCTGTAGTGATACCACCTCGGAAACCCAAGGAGGGGTCGCTATGAGTCAGATCCAACTTGATGGCAGTGAGTTTGGTTTGGTTTGTCATTGAGTACTAGTATTAGAGGTTTTCTGATTGCAACAACTTTAATGTTGTCCCTCAAATATAATGAGAATTTATCAGCCTTACTGATTTTCACCACCCTCTTGTTTCCTGCAGAAAATTTCCAAAATCCATCTTTGCTTGGAACTCCAAATTCTCTGCAGCTCTCTCTTCCTGTAGTGAGCAGTGTGACTCCCCTAACAGGAAGTGCCTGCAACTTCTCCAGGGTCTCGGCTCCAGCATGGCTACTGCCATCAGCCTCCAGCACCTCTTTCCAACCACTCATGGGTAGTGCCTACCTTTATCAACAATCTAACACAACTATGTTGTCTGGAGTTTCTGGCCAAAGCCAGATCTCTAATTCATCTGCTTCCCACCCAGGTATTTTGGAGTGGGATCTCACAGAAAGCACTGAAAATAAGTCATCATCACTTGGGGACTTCGCTGTCACTGTAATTGGCCAAGATGCAGCTATTTCTTCCATGCCTATGGCAGCTCAATATGACAAAACTTTAGATAACAATACCATAGTCCCTCTGCATCCATCACTGTCTGCTAGCCTTGCTCAGGGAACACTAAATCAGGGACATAGCTTGTCATTTCCCTACCATGAAGGGAGCCAGGTATATTACTATAATCAAGGCACACTGGGGGCTCCCCTACTCTCTGGAGAACTTGGCCCTTCCTGCAATCCTATGGCTCTGTGTGCTGCACAGGAGGTAGGACTTCTGCCCCTCAACCAGAAATGATGATGGTACTAAAGGAAGTTCAGTCCAAAAATGCCCTACCACCAGCCTCCACCTTTGGAATTTACTACTCCATGTCTGCTCAACCCACCACAGAAGCAAGTTTTCAAGGTGAGTAGAAAAAGCAAGAAGAGAGAGGAATAAGGTCAGCACTCGAAAAGAAGGTCAAAACTGCTGCTGGCAAGTGCTGAGTCCTGAGATTTTAAACATTACCCTCATTCAGTGCTCTCCGATGTTTCCAGACACCATGTAAGAGCATACAAAGGGATACTATACTTTGCACACAGTAATTAACTCCCTTCCTTGATATCTTAGGAAGGCACTTCCAAATTCTTATTGTAGTAGAACCAGTTAACTTTCCTTCATTTCCTTAATTTACACCAGGATTCAAAACTGTGTTCAGAGACTCTGTCTGAAACAAGCAGGCACAAACTCTTGTCTTTGCTTAAGTATTTTATGAAGAAGAGTTCTACTCCCTGTCCTTAGCCCATGACATGAAGTGTTGTTACCTCTTCAGGAGAATGGAAAGAAGTGAAAGGATGCTGTATGAGAATGCTAGGCTTTATGAAACACTTAAGAATTGCATGTTACTTGCACAATATTTATTTTACTTATAACAACCCTAAGAAATACAAAGAAAACCAAGCAACAGTGGCGTCAAATGATCACTGGTCAGAACAGCAGCCTCCTAGTTCTTAAACAGGGTCCTGTCCATGGTCCTTAAAAAGACCTTGTAGAAAAACTTGCCCACTGTTGAGGAAGCATCTTACTTAACCAGATACTGATTGACTTCTTCCTTGATTCCTTTGTAGTGATGGAAACTTCCCTGGGGATGGAGACTTCCCTGAGATTAAAACCCCCAAGTCAAACATTTTGTCTGCCACAAACTCCAGAATTCTCCAAATCCTGCAACAGAAATATCCACATACCTGACAGTAACCCACCACCTGAGTTTGGGGACATTCCAGTGATAGCTCCAGTTGAGAGTTCTAATAACCTCCTTGTACTGCTTCCAGCTCCAGGCCAGGAACAAACAGAGAATGATAATTTGGATAAGATTAAAAGCAAGCTTCTAGATCCTCTAGATGCCTACCAGATCCCAATAGAAAACCAAGATCCTCCACTACTTCCTTTAGAAATCCCTGACATTCACCAACTTCTGGCCTGCATTGATCTCCTCAATCAAGAGAAGCAGCCTGGTTCTGAAAATGCAGATCTGGAAAAGAACAGCCTGAGTCTTGAGGACCAAGGGACACTTGAAAATGAGATTGACTCTAGCAGTTTTGCAGATATCACTACACTGGTAGAGGATATTCACTTTCCTCAGCTCTTCAATTATTTGAAAGACTTTGATCAACCCAAAAGTTCCAAGGCAATCACAGCCAAAGATACCAAATGCATCAAGGTGAATCAGGTGCAGGGAAAGTCAAGCATGATAAATCATTACTCTGATCAAGTCAGGAAGAACAAACACAAAGCCCCTGAGCCTACCACTGGACCTCTCAAGGCCAAAATCCAAGCAAAGAACCCAGAGGAAGAAGTGGTAGTTTGTAATGCAGAAGCCAGTGGCAGAACTCCTGTGAATACCACCAACAATTCTAACAAACCTCTCAAAACTGCATCCAGCAGGATCAGCAAAACTAAGGGCCATGGGCAGGAAAAGGCCAAAAGGACCAGAGAAAACAGCTCCAAGAAAGATGAAGACAGTAAGCAGTCAGAGAACAAAGTCAAGGCAGAAGAGAAGCCAACCTTTCCCAAGATGAAGCAGAAGAAAAAGCAACCTGAGCTTAGCCAGGAGACCTTTAAGAAGCCTCGAAGCTGCCTGGGCATGCACATGCTAGAGTCTGTGCATGTTTTTCATGCACTGGGGAAGAAAACTGGGCTGTCTTCCACCCAGGCCCTGGGAAACTCAAGCAACACCAAACACCCCCGGCCATCCCCAGGTACCAAACCTTGGCTGGATACCCCATGTGAGGGAAAAGGTCCTGTGAAAACTGATGCCAAAGCTCAGAAACCAGATAGCAGTGCTGAGAAACAGTGTCCATCTTCATCCCAGTATGAGCTGCCACCTCCTGGGAAGGGCAAGTTGGTACCTTTGCCTTTTCCAACGTTGGACAAGCCTCAAGCTTGACCTGTTCCTCGGAGGCCTTCTGTGGCTTACCCTCCTCAGCCTGGTTCTACTAACTCAGCTCAATCTATTGCAGTCAATTCATCCAGGCCAGCTTCTGCCAATGCATCATGGATGGGTCCTCCTAGACCAGCTCAGTCAATTTCGACCAACCCAGCCAGACCTGGTTTGACCAACCCTACCCAGCCCAGTTGTTCTCAGTCTGCTGCTTCTCAGCCTGCACCCTACAAAGTATCATCTTGCACTTCTTTCCAGAGGGAGCCTGTTCCCACTGTTGTGACCAGCCAAAGTCCCCACCTAAGCCTCAAACCCAGTTTCTACTCCAAGACTTCTGCTTCCAGCCAATTCCATGGAGGAAACCCAATGTTCCCGAGCCAGTAATATCAAAACCTATCACAGAAGAGCAGAGGCCAGAGCGTGAGGCCATGAAGAGGCAGGCTCAGCAGAGCATGAGAATGCTGCCAAATACACTTCTTTGGGAAAAGTGCAGTTTTTCATTGAGAGGGAGAAAGACATGGAAATTGCTCAATACTATGGTTATGCGATATGAAAAGAGCTACTACAATTTTGGGTGCCACTTTGGGTACCAGCTGTTTTTCCATAGATAGATAAATATAAATTCTCTATTCCCTATTTTAAACACAATAAACTTGAGAATAAAATGTAACAGAATACATGAGTAATAAAAAGACCTTTGAGTTCTGAGTTGCTGTTAAGTTCCCCCCCCCTTTGGTGGGAGTTGAATGAAAGGCTGCATTAGAAGGAAGAGAACTTTGGATGGGAGAATGAGCAAAAGAGGATAAGAATTTAGGAAGGAATAAAGAAAACTTGGTCCAAGGTTATGAAGGCAGAAAGGGGAGATATTTTACAAGCATATAAAAAGCAGAGGTAGGGGAAACAGCAGAGGGAAAAAGCAGGGTCTGCAGTTAGGGTTAAAAAATAAAATTTGAGTAGAGTTGGAGATAACAAAAGATAAGTCTGGGCTGACCAGGAGAAATGTAAAATGTCTTTCATGGAGACCATCATATGTCTCATGGCCTATCAGATGGGTATTTCAGAAAACAAGAGGATTCAGGACACACCTCCAACAGGTTTGCGTTGCCCTATGCACAGATGGCACAGATGGTTATAGTTAGCAACTGTGAATACAAAACATAGAGGAATGTACCAGGGGAGTGGCAAGGGCTCAGAATTATCTGGGAGCAGCTGATAACCTTGGAGCCTAGCCAAGTGAACCGCAGCATATTGCCGCCCACCTAAAACAGAGCCTGGAACATAAAGTACCATTTTACTCAACATCTATGCTGGGGACCTTTAGGCATGCTACTTCAATTAACTTTCACAACAAAGGCCAGTGTCACTGTACCACTTTACTGGTGGGATTGAGCAATGGGCTGAGGTCACATTGCATACACAGAAGCAAGGCCTAATTTGAGGCCAATTGCCCTCTAACGTTCAGGGTTTGCAAGGCCCCAGAGACCGCCCAACCTGGTTTTCAGAACATAGCATCCAGAGGTTATAGGTGGATGATATCAAACGTAGGAAGGGCACGCAGGGAGCTAACTATTATCTTGTAGGTCCTGCCATGTCCTCCTCCACCATCCAAGTTGCACGCCACCTTCACGGATCATTGCCATCAACCAAAGCGCATGAGAAAAATCTGCTGCCAACGTCCATTCCTACTGGGCGAGGGCGGTGAGTGCGCTTGAGCACTGGGTCCCAGTGCCAAAGATCCGCAGGATGTGGGCGTCCCAAAGTCTCAAGGTGCTGGGGGGAGGCTACGTGGAGCAGCTAGAGGGAGTGGGAGTGAGTTGGGTGGAGGAGTATGGAGGGGGATGGAGGAGGCAGGACTCCAAACAGTTACCACGGGAAAATTACTAATTTACATTAAATGGTTCTGTTGAAAATATGTAGCATACAAAAAAATTCACCGTTTAAAAGTGTCCAATTCAGTGACATTTTGTACATTCACGAGGATGTGCAGTCATCACAACTCTCTAATTCCGTTATCTCAAAAATAAACCTCCATACTTACTAGCAGTCTCTCTCATCTCCCATTTCCTCCTCTACACAGCTTCTAGCAACCACTAATCTACTGTCTGTATAAAACCAAACCAAATGCACTGCCATCAAGTCGGATCCGACTCATAGCGACCCTTCCTTGGGTTTCTGAGGCAGTATCACTACAGAAGTAGATTGTCCACCCTTCCTTCTGAGGACTGGCTGGTGGGTTTGAACCGCCAGCCTTCTGGTTAGCATCAAATGCCTTAGGCATGACACCACCAGAGCTTCTTCCGTCTGCATAGATTTGCCTATACTGGACATTTCATGTGAATGAAATTGTACAATATGTGGACTTCATGTCTCGCTTCTTTGACTTAGCACAATGTTTTCAAGGTTCATCCATGTCGTAGCATGTGCTGGCACTTCATTCCTATATGTGGCTGCATAATATTCTATTGTACAAAACCAAAAACTCACTGCCATCCAGTTGGATCCTGACTCACAGTGACCACTCCTTGGGTTTCTGAGGTGGTATCACTAAGGAAGTAGATTGCCCAATCTGCCTTTCCAGGAGAGGCCTCCTGGTGGGTTTGAACCACCAAATTTCTGGTTAGAAGTCATGACTGCTAACTACTTTTTTTGTGTGTGTCTAAAACTATAGATGACAACATTTACTAATTCAACATTTTTTCACACGCACAATACTCATGATTTTGCTGATTGTATACTAATAGTGCAGCTTACTGTTATTTTTCTTGGCTGTAATTTTTAAAAATTTTTTTATTGTGATTTGAGTGAAAGTTTACAGAGCAAATTCATTTTATGTACAGCAGTTCATACACATTTTGTTTCATAACATTGACATGTTTCATTACATTCCCCACAATGTAACAGCTCACTTCCCACTTCCTCCCTGTAGTTACCTCTTCCCTGTGTTCTTCCCTCCCATGCACTGAAGCTATCTCCCTGTGCAAACACTGCCCTTCTGTTCTCCCAAGATCTGATCACAACAAGGAGTGTATCTACCTGATGTAAATGTTCACCCCATATGTCTGTCTATTATTTGGCTGGAAGACACAGGAGTGAGTTCAGTTCCAGACCTGAAGAGTAACTAGGGGTCATAGTCTCAGGGGTCTCACCAGGCTCTATCAGACCAGCAAACTTGGTCTTTTTTTTTTTTTATGATTTTGAGTTTTGTTCCATATTGTTCTCCCACTCTATTCAGGATCTTCATAGTGCAGTTTAACATGGCCTCTGTCCTTTACATTTCTGGTAGGCTGGTAGCTATTTGCAGAATCCCAGAGGCTTGATCCACTATAGGTGGTGGTGTGAGTTTTCACCAGGAGAGAAATAATATCTGTTGCTTCTCTTTTTTGTGATTTTAGCAATTGTTCACACTTAATGCCAGTTAATTGATTCATTAGCAGTTGCAAATCAGTGGTATTAATATTTCTCTTTCATTTATTAACTATAAAAGAAAGCTGGTCCTCATCTACTATTTGGTTACTCTAGTACATACAAGACAAGATAAATGCTTGACTTTATTGGCCGATTTTGAAGATAATTTGTTTCCCATCATTTTTTGAAGGTAACCAATTAATTGTTTGTTTTTAATATCATTACGAACTCACAGATTTAAACATATTTGATGAGTTACAATCCATTACAATTATCCTTTTTGAAGCTCAAATTATCCACCTTTGGCCAGTGGGGACCTCTTTAAATTGACTCCTGAGCCCCTTTAATGTGACCCTAGTTGTTTTTGATAGCTTCCTTGCTATATTGTATTACCATACAGTATTACAAGATGCTTGTGTTAGACTGAGTTCTCTAGAGAAACAAAACCAGTAAAGCTTATACACACACACACACACACACACACACACACACA